CCACAGTGGGTTTCTTTATACCATTACTTTCTCTCTCTCTCTCTCTCTCTCTCTCTCTCTCTCTCTCTCTCTGTGTGTGTGTGTGTGTGTGTGTGTGTGTGTGTATGTGTGTGTGTATACATGCACGCGTGCAAGCGCGCGTTTATATCTACTGGGTAGTTTTATGTCGACCTGACCCAAGCTAGAGTCATTGAAGAGGGAACCTCAGTTGAGAAATGGCCCCACTGGATTGGTATGTGGACAAGCCTGTGGTGCGTTTTCTTGGTTGATGATGGCTATGGGAGGGCCTGGATCACTGTACATGGTGCCACTCCTGGGCTGGTGGTCCTGTGTGCTGTAAAGAATCAGGCTGAGCAAGTCACAGGGAGCAAGGCAGAAAGAAGCCTCCCCCTGGCCTCTCTGTCCCTGCTCCTGCCTCCAGGTTCCTGCCTTGAATTCCTGCCCTGACTTCCTTCGAGGGACCGGGACCCGTGAGGTAAAATGAACCCTTTCTTCCCCGGGTTGCTTTTGGTGGGGGTGCTTTATCCCAGCAAGAGAAAAGGAACTCAGGAAGTTTACATGCAAGTGCAGATCCTTGTGTGTGTGCACACACATGTGGAGGACGTATCCTCCTTAACCAATCACTCTCCACCTTAGTTTCCACACAGTCTCTCAATGAAACCCAGAGCTTACTGATCGGCTAGACTGGCTGGCGAGCGATCCTAGGATCACAGACCTGCTGCCACGCCAGTCCAAACTCGGGTTCTCATGCTTGAAAACAAGCACCTCACCCATGACGCCATCTCCACAGCCCGGTCGTTACTTCCGTTTTGTTTTGTATTGTCCTAGCCAGCCTTAAACTCACTGTCCTCCTGCCTCGCCTTTCCAAGTATGGGGATTACAAGAATCTGCCACCACACCTTGCTCTCCATCACTAGCTTTAGAAAGGGGAGGGAGTCTTATCAGTACAACTTACAATAAAATATCCAAATTTTAAATGGAAAGCTTGACTGATTTTTTAATTATCCTATTATCCACCGATGTAGCCACTACTCAGACCAATAGTTAGAATGTTTTCAGTATCATAGAAGGCTGCCTTGGTCAGTCTTCCAGTCAGAATTGTCCAAAAGAAAATCAGTATTTTAATCCCTGTTGTTTGACTAATTTCCAAGTCCACATAATGAAATTATGAACTATCCACTTTTTTCCCTTTCTCATCTCCAATTCTTTTATTTTGTTATCTTTTTCCATACAGTATATTCTGATCATGTTTCCTCCCTCCCCAACACCTTCTAGACCCTCCTCACCTCCCTCCTCCCCTGTGCGGGCTAGTTTTATGTCAGTTTGACCCAAGCTAGAGTCATCTGAAAAATTGAGAAAATGTCTCTATAAGATCCGGCTGTAAGGAATTTTCTTAATTAGTGACTGATGTGGGAGGGCCCAGCCCACTGTAGGTGGGAGCCACACCTGGGCTCGTGGTCCTGGGTTCTGTAAGAAATCAGGCTGAGCATGAGAAGTCAACCAGTAAGCAGCACCCCTCCATGGCCTCTGCATCAGCTCCTGCTTCTAAGTTCCAGCCCTGTTGGGGGCTCTGCTATCTTCACAGGCCAGACGAGTCATGGGAGGCAAGAGGATAGTTCATCGCAACATGACTCAGTAGCCAGTGTTGGTTCAAACTTCAGGAGTCTGACTCCAAGCTGTTTCTTTTAGGCATATTTAAATAGCACAATCTGGTGAAAACTACTCTTGTGAAGATTAACTCAATCCCATGTGCACCACAAAGCGTATCTATATCTCCTTGAGGAACAATGTAAACTAAATACAGATTAAGTGTGACTACATGGAAACTCTGTAAAGTACATGTAGCACCTTTCAAGAGAATAAGTTCTGTAGACTGAGAGAAAGGTCTGGGGGAGGGTCTGGCGCCAGAAAGTCTTCAGACACACAGATTGCACAAAGGTCACCAGGCTAGAAAGCATGTCCACTCCAGCCTTCTGGGCAGAAAACAAGTTTTACATTCCTTCCCTTAAAGGAACAACCCTGTGTGCTTAGTATTCCAGGTCCTCTAGTGAATGCCTGCTTTTGATGATGAACCATTATATGGAACTGTGAGGGAAATAGACCATTTCTTCCCCAAGTTGCTTTTTGCTCATGGTGTTTCATCACAGCAATAATAACCCTAAGATACCACTCAACTTTATATTTTCTCTCTCTGAACTATCTGATTTTTGTTCTTAGATCCCTTTACTCAACATGGTCTTGATGAGATTGCTTCTTTTTATTGCAATATTCATCCCTCCTCAGACATGCTTATCATGTCAGAGGGCATTTGGATTGCTTCATGTTGGGTTAACATGAATGAAGGCATTATGAATATTCTTGCATATGTATCTTGGTAGATGCAAGCATAACTGCCGTCGGGTTTATAGCTAGGAGCAGAGTTGCTATACTGTGGGTTGTGCATACAGTTATCTTATGTGGATCCTCTAACAAACATTTTACCAGAATCACTATACCTATTACACTCCCACCAGTAAATGCTCATGTGTTCCAATTGTTCCATATCTTTGATATTGCTTCATATCATTGTCAGCCAACTTATACAAATGTACACAATCATCTGAGATGAACACTGAAATTATAAATTGCTGCAATACTCTGAAAAGCATCTGAAAATGGCTTCCTGAGATACAGAGACACAATAATAAAAACCAATGATATTCATTGAGCATATGCTGCTTGCCAGACACATTCGAGGCACTTTGGGAGGTTATCTTATCCAATCATTGCAACATATGGAGGGTGTGCTGCTGTCTTCATCTTATAATCGAGAGATTTGAGGCATAGAGAGAGAGAGAATTTATAGACTTGAGCTAACTGGAAGCACCTGCTCAGATTGTTAGACATAACCCCTCTTTGGTCTGATCAGCCTGCCCAGAAAACATTTTTACAAAAGATAAAAAAATTTGGATTAGAAGCCATTGTGGTAGTGCACTCCTTTAATTCTAGCACTCAGAAGTCATAGGCAGGTAGAGCTCTATGAGTTCAAGGCCAAGTTCTCTACATAGAGAGTTCCAGCCCAGCCAAGTTTACATTAGTGAGATCCTGGAGGAGAGAGGGAGAGAGGGAGAGAGGGAGAGAGGGAGAGATTTTGGTTTGTGGAATAGTTTTACCAACTTCTAAAATACTTTACAGAGTGTCAGATAAGTTCCCATAGGAAAAAATTTTACATTTAATGGGACTAAAACCTAATGTGATTTTGGGGAAAGAGCATAAAGATGTCTTACTTTTCTAAATATTACAAAGATAACTATGCAAACATGTTACTAAGGCCTAGTGTAGCTAGCTTCCAACTATGAAGAATTTCCTTCATTATCTCTAGCTCTCGGTATTCGTGACCTTGTACAGTTCCTCTTGCACATTGAGTCGCTGCTGTGTTTTACCAATGGAATGCAGTAGAACTGACGGTGAGTCACTTCCGTGGCTAAGATACAGGAACGTCATTAACCCCATCTCTCTCTCTCTCTCTCCTCTCTCTCTCTCTCTCTGGACATTCACTCTGGGGAAACCCAGCTACCACGTTACAAGAATGCTCAAAAGAAGCACGAAGAAAGAAATGATACCTCTAGCCATGTGAGCCATTTAAAAAATGGATGTTCCGGTCCTGGTCAGGCCTTCAGAAAACTGCAGCTGTGACTGAAAGCTTTGGAAGATCATGAGATAGCCCAGTACAGACCACTCAGGGAGGCTGATCCAGCCCAATTCTGAGAGATGGCATGAGAAAAATAAGCTTATTGTTGTATTATGTGAGATCAACTCAGAGAGAGAGAGAGAGAGAGAGAGAGAGAGAGAGAGAGAGAGAGAGAGAGAGAAAGAGAGAGAGAGAGACTGACTAAGGGGCCAATGACACCTGAGTTCAATCCCTGGAACCCCCTATGGAAGCAGAGAACTGAGTCCTCAAAGTTTTTCTCTGACTTCCCCACACATGCTGTGGCACATGCATAGCACATTCACATCATAATAAATGTATTTTAAAAAGAAATTGGTAATGAATACAGACTCCTCGTGGAGCCTTGTGAGACCTGCGCTAGTGAGAGGCCCTAAACATTAAGTTTCAGTCTCAGAAGCATCATGATAATTGACCTCTGCCTAGGTTAATAGCCGAGGACCCTAGGTAGTCATAGCAGAAATGATTGTTGTTGTTTTTTAATCAAAATTTGTCATCAAACTTTTACTGCGTCTATGAGAAGGCCATCCCTACTGTGTTCACTTTCTGTTACTGAAAGAAATGCCCGAGATAGTCCATGTAGAAAAGGTTTGTCTGGGTTCATGGTTTTGGGGGTTTGATCGTGATTACTTGGCCCTGGGTTGGTGATAAAACATCAGGGCTGAAGCTCGTGATGGAGCAAGACTAGTCCCCTAATGGCATGGAAGAAAGAGAGAAGAGAAAGTTGGGTATTAAGATGCCTTGGATTTGATCCCCAACACCACAGGACAAGGGAGAGACCCAGAACCCCCTTCGAGTGCATCCCGCCATGATCTCGTTTCTGCCAGTTCTATGACTTCCCAGTAGTGCCACGCTGTGAACCACGTGAGCCGTGGACAGACACAGATCTGAACCGAGGCTCCGCCAGCCTCAGCCGCATTGCCGAGCTTTCTGTTTCACAGAAGCAGAACTGTGGCACCTCTGGATTGTCCTTCCACAAGATGTGTTCTTGTGCCACTCCCTTCTTCGTACAGGCCAGGCTTGGGGTGTATCAAATGACCTTGGCAACCACATGTGAAGATAGCAAGGACCCCCATCCCAGAGTCCCGGATGGCTTTACGGAACACCACCTCCACACCCCGAGGCTGACAATTTTGTTAGCTGGAAATTACTTCCATTTGTGTTCAAATGGCAATCTTTTAAGATCTATGAATTAAGATAAGCTAGTAGGCCCCTAAACGATTACAGTTTCAGTCTTCAAACTTGACATACCCTACTTTTCCTTCCAGAGCCTGGCTTTGATTTTAACAGTATTTATTTCTTCATTTCTATTTTCTAAGTTCGTTATTAGGGCAGGAGTCGCATGCCGTGACGCACGCGCAGAGTACAGCTTGGTGGGGTCAGCTCTCTCCTCCAGCCGTGACGTCAGTTCTAGGGATCAAACTGTGGTTGCCGGGCTACATAGCAAATGCCATCACCTACTGACTTACCTCACCATCTCCTATTTTATCATTTGTTTTGCTACTTTATTGGCATTTTAGTCTTCAAACTGCAAACATATACAGACAAGCTCAAATAATGCCTCATCTGCTCAGAACTCAGCCTCAATATTTGTGCTGAGGCCATCCATTCCCAGGCCTTGTATATTTATACCTTTTCCTACATATCTACCCACTCTTTTAAAGCAAATGTCAGGATCTCAAACATCATATCGTTTTGTTGAAATAGTCCTAATGTCATGGAGGAAACTTCCTTTACCTTCCCTGGGATCCGGTGTGTTTGTGAGTCTGTAGAAAGCATCAGTTCCCATTGCTTCACAACAGAGGTGAAGACAGGCAGAGCTGTAAGGGAGGACTACCTGTTCCTGTGTGAGGCACACCCCACTCCCTTGAGGTTTCAAAACCTTCCTGCACTCCAGTAAAGTTTGGAGCATTGTTCCTATAAAATGATGCTGGGTGCCAGGCAAGCTGAGAATCCCAACGGCCAGCTTGGAAACAATGAGGGGCAATAGATAGAGCTGAACTGACACCATCTTGGCTTAGCTAGTTGTATGCCCTTTGACCATTAATTTAATTACTCAGATCTTTGTATCTTCTCATTTATAACTCTTTTTGTTTGTTTGTTTGTTTTGTTTTTTCGAGACAGGGTTTTTCTGTGTAGTTTTGGTGCCTGTCATGGATCTCGCTCTTTAGACCAGGCTGGCCTCGAATTCACAGAGATCTGTCTGGCTCTGCCTCTGGAATGCTGGGATTAAAGCTGTGTGCCGACACCACCCAGCATCTCTCATTTATAAAAGAGGTAGTACCTATTGTGTGCTTCTCTGGGTCAATATAACAACAGAAAAGCA